GATTTAGACAATTTCTGGAATACTCTCTGTAGTCTACTTTTATTCCCTCTATGCATTAAGTGTGGTGCGCAGGTCACACCCGGCCATCAGAATTTCATTTCTATTGCCGTTCTAAAATCGCTTTTACTTTAATGTTAGGGGTGGGGAATAGAATGCACTGTTTATAGGGTACCTGCCAGCCAAGAGGTAGTCAACCGTCCTTCGCAAGATATCAGCATAATATTTTCGTTTTAAATTTGAACCATAATTACCCTGGAAACATTGTAGTTGATGGGCTGTTCTCGTCTATTTTTCAGTCATAAGACGATGACATCTTTATTACTTGATAATTTTTTTCTTAAATCATACAGGGAGAATCAAAGATACAGTGAAAGAAACACTTATGAGGATGGAGAACGAAATGAAAGAGATGAAGGAAAAGCTAGGTTTCCTGATGGCTTCAGCAGAAGAATGCAGAGATCAAGGTCAGTCGTTTGGAAGACCGCGAGAGTACTGTTTAAACGTTAAGAAGTGGTACTAAGTTAGAAACTAACAGTATAGGCTCGATTGAATTCATAATCGAACTAGTTTTGATCGTTAAACGTGAATCATACATAGACCTTTCTAGCATCGACGATACCCGCGTTTAAGAAATTCCTTTTGACTTGTACATCAGGTTTTTCCTTAATCAAGAGTTACAATCAAAAATTTTTGGTAAACCATTTTATGTTCATTGGATGGACAGCGACTTGAATGTTAAGTTTTCTACAAAACAAGAAAATTATTCCATCTTTCATTCGGCAATGGTGTCGAAGACATACGATTAATTTAAATTTGTTACCAAGTACCTGAGAAATATCACACTTTTTTCGCGTTCTTTAGATTTCTTACTCATTTTACTAATTTTAGGTATTTTCGATCCAACTGAGCTTATCAACGGGATTCGCCAGCTCTACAATACTCGCGAGGGATGGCTTTCACCATTTCCATGGTGTGAAGAGTTTCAGTTTTTTCTTTGCAATATTTTTACGAGGCTCAAAATGGTGAGGAGAAAGAAAGCGAGAGGAGAAGTCACAGACATGTTGGTTGACATGTCGTCTATACTGGACCCATATGAGGAGTGTTCAGCGCCGAGAACAGTGTTGATCGAAGGAGAACCTGGTATGGGAAAAACCACCCTCTGCAAAAAGTACGTCTACGACTGGGCCACAAGAAAGCAGGAACCTCAGAGCTGCGGCTTAACAGCATTCAAAGCAGTGTTGTTTCTTAAATGTCGAGACATCCATTCTGATGTCTGGGAAGCAGTTGAGGATCAGCTTCTGCCCCGAGACATCGATGAAGAAGTCAAACAACAATTTTTTCAGTTTACTCGTGAAAATCAGTCCAGCATTTTATTGATACTAGATGGATTGGATGAGTTGCCTTCCGGCAAATTGCCAATGTTTTCGGAATTGATTGAAGGAAGGGTACTCCCTAGATGCCACATAGTTGCAACAGCAAGACAAGAAGCTGGAAAAGAGGTGAGAAAATACTGTGATACGCTGCTCGAGATCGAGGGATTCACTCAAATACATGTTGACGAATTTGTTATCAAATACTTCAAAGATAGGCCAGGTTTAGCCACAAAGCTCTTAGAACGGATGAGGCGCGAGACAAACCTGACAGAAATGGCAGCCAATCCTCTAAACACAGCACTTCTTTGCCTTTTATGCGAAGAGTTTGATGGCACACTTCCTGAAAACAGAGCTCAACTGTACTTGGATATCATTGAATGTGTCTTGAGAAGATACAGAAAAAAGAAAGGACAATCAAAAACAAATACAGCCGAGACAAACCTTTACAAACCTCAATTGGATCGCCTTGGGTTGGTGGCGTTGAATGGTTTGCTTAACGACAAATTGGATTTTGATGAAAGTGAATTGGGAAACAATGCAAAAGACTTGACTGCATTTGGATTTCTCTCAATGCAGCCTGGTGGCAGCAAATTGAGACCAAAAGTGCATTATGCTTTCCTACATAAAAGTTTCCAAGAATGCTTTGCAGCATTCTTCATTTGTTCTCAGATTCAAAGCAAAGAAATTACACCCGAAGACCTAGTTTCCGATGAAAGGTATTTCGGTAAGCTTAAACAAGTACTTTTGTTTTCATGCGGAATTTTAGCCATGCAATGCGATGAACATGTTGTGGCTCTTGTGAACAGTCTAACAAACCAAGTCAACAAACATGAAGGCGATGGTACAAAAGTTGTACTAGAGGCCATGAACGAATGTAAAAGTGAAAAAGATTTTCCCATACATTTAGCAAAATGTTTTGGATCTGGTTTGAATCTTACCAATTTGGATTTGTCTGAGAATTCTATCGGCAATGCCGGCGCTTCATCTATTGCAGAGGCAATCAAAGTCAACAAGACTCTGACCAATTTAAATTTGCCTGGGAATGATATTAGTGATGCCGGTGCTACATCTATTGCTGAGGCAATCAAAGTCAACAAGACTCTGACCAAATTAAATTTGTCTCGTAATCATATAACTTTTGCCGGTGCTACATCTTTTGCTGAGGCAATCAAAGTCAATAAGACTCTGACCAATTTGAATTTGTCTGGCTATCAGACAACTGATGCCGGTGCTACATCTATTGCTGAGGCAATCGAAGTCAACAATACTCTGACCAATTTAAATTCTCCTGGGAATGAAATGAGTGATGCTGGTGCTACATCTATAGCTGAGGCAATCAAAGTCAATAAGACTCTGACTAATTTGAATTTGTCTTACTTTCGTATTACTTATGCCGGGGCTACATCTATTGCTGAGGCAATCATAGTCAACAAGACTCTAACCAATTTGGATTTGTATTGCAATGATATTAGTGATGATGGTGCTGCATCTATTGCTGAGGCAATCAAAGTTAACAAGACTCTTACCAATTTGAATTTGTCTGGCAATCGTATCGCTGATGATGGTGCTACATCTATTGCTGAGGCAATCAAAGTAAACAAGACTCTAACCAATTTGAAGTTGTCTTACAATCATATTACTTATGCCGGTGCTACATCTATTGCTGAGGCAATCAAAGTCAACAAGACTCTGACCAATTTGTATTTGTCTTACAATCAGATTGGTGATGCCGGTGCTGCATCTTTTGCCGAGGCAATCAAAGTCAACAAGACTCTGACCAATTTGTATTTGTCTAACAATCAGATTAGTGATACCGGTGCTACATCTATTGCTGAGGCAATCCAAGTCAATAAGACTCTGACCAATTTGAATTTGCCTGGAAATGACATTAGCGACGCTGGTGCTAACTCTATTGCTGAGGCAATCAAAGTCAACAAGACTCTGACCAATTTAAATTTGTCTGGCTATCAAATAACTGATGCGGTGCTACATCTATTCCTGAGACAATCAAATTCAAGTAGACTGACGAATGTGAATTTGTCTGGGAATGATAACAGTGATGCCAGTGTTAAGTCCATCGGCGAAGACAATCAAAGTCAACAACTCTCTGACCAAGTTGGATTTGGATCGCAATGATATTATTTATGCCGGTGCTACATCTATTGCTGTAGCTATCAAAGTCGGCAATGCTCTTACCAATTTGAATCTATCTGGCTATCAAATAAATGATGCGGTGCTCTTAAGAATTCGTTAAACAACTTTTACTCAATTTCTAGAATGAATAAAAATAAATCAATTTTTTCTCGGTGAAGCCTCTTCTGAGTTGTCAACAGAAATGATATTCCAAAGCAAAATTTAAATCATTTATTGGACGTGACCTTGGCTTTCTATACGTTTGTAAACATGGATGGAATCTTTCCAATTGCAGTTGAATAAGTGAGAACCTGGCCTCCGTAAATATCAGGATACATTAAGAGAGGAAATTCAGACATGTCTTCCCTGCGGTCAGCAGACACGGGTAATCATCATAAATGTGTATTAGTCATTCAGTGCGTGATATCATGCTGTGAACCATAGATATCTTGAAAGATTCTGTTTTTTCTAATGAGGAATGTCTAATTTATCTTCACTAATGTATTCCATTTTATGCTTTCTCTTTTTTCGTGCATTTGTCGGTAATTCGTTGACGATTTGTACATCAATAAGATCGCGTGTCTTGAATCAATTTTTTACATTATTTAGTTTGTTTATTTACCGAATTTCCCGTCGATGCATGCTCAATTTGTTTATCACGAGTGTATATAGTCCCTTACAAGTTTTCTCTTTTTTCCGATCGGAACAAGCCTTTGCATCAAATTCAGCGTCATTTGTGTTGACAAATGCAGGTGGATCCGTCTTCCTCAGCTGACGGCAGTGTTTGTTGTTGAATATCAAATCTGCTTAGCGAGCTACAAATCGTACGACTAAGATATAACATCGCCATGTTTCATACTGACAGGATGAGCCACGAGAGGATTTCCCCAGGCCAAGTATCACCAGCATATCTTCATCAGCAACTGCCGAAAGCTCGTCGTTGATGACAGTGATCCGGAAACTAAATGGCTTTTGAAGTCCGTCTTCCACTATTTCGCATCTTCGTTCGTTTTGATCGATTCTGAAAAACGGATTTAAGTTTTTTCTTTTGCATTTGTACATACCAACAGACAGGCACCAAGTGTATTCATGAAAGTACCCGCCGTTACAATCGTCCTTATTGCCCAACGCTTCACTAATATTCTGATGACTATATTCTACGAGAATGTCGAACATCACGCCCACATCGTAGCTTCCTGGCGCCTCAAGATATTCTACAAATACATTATCCCGCTGATGAGGATGTGAATTGTTTATAAGATCTCGGCTTTTTTGGAAAAGGTGTACCTCTTCGATCTGAAGATCGGGATCTTTAGGAAGCCAGTTGAAAGGCATTATCGCTTTCTTCCACCAGGCAGTCTCTTTGCGATAGGGTCTAAAGGTACTTACGAGTGACCACGAGTGAGATTAAATCAAAATATCTCAGTTTTGTTACTATGA